CTCTCTCCCTCTGGATGGTGCTGTCTACTATCAAGCAGTGTTTGATAGACTGTGGCCAGGGCCCAGCAACAGTGCAGTAAGTTGTATCTCCTTGGAATCCCCACAGCATTTTTCTTTCAAATAGTCTACCATTTTATGAAGGTCTTGCAGTTGCTCAGGAGTGAAGCTCCAAACCATTGGGGGTGAGAAGGTCTCTAGATATCTGCCTGTATTCTTCCATGTGCGATGCTAGCCCTCACTATTCAGCCTTGGGGAAGATCCCTGGGTGGTATTCTTAAAACAATTTTTGCTAACCCTGAACAGGACTTGGAAAACATGCAGGAGACCTAGCAATAGGAATATACTGGCCTGAACATTCCAAGGGTATTCAAAATTCTCAAAAATTGTCGTGACCAACCAAAAGGGAACAGAGGAGGTGAAAGAGTGGGAGAAGCTATCCCCCCCCCCGTCTTTCCTATAGATTGGGTGCAAATTATTAATCAATTCTGAGAGATGCTGACCAAGGTACAGGCATGACAGAAATGCTACATACAAGTACTAGCTCAGACTCATGACTGTCAATGATATCATAAATCAATATCACACAATACAACACTATGAGAATACGAACCCCTCTTCCAGAGGTGATAAACAGTGCCGCAGGGATTACATAGAGTAAACACGGGTTTACAGAACAGAGCCATGTGACCAAACAGCACATGACTGTGACCAGTGACTGTTTAAATGACATTATAAATGCTTATAACAACTTTGTTTTAACATGCTCAGACTTGTTGTTATCACAAGCCTTTGTGCCCCACATTGGGCGCCAAAAAAGACTGACATGGTTTAGCCCCAGCTGGGAGCTGAGCACCACCTCAGTCACCCCTCCCAGCGGGATGGGGAGGAGAATGGGAAAAACAAAGGCAAAGCCTCGAGGGTTTGGATAAGGACAGTTTACTGGGACAGCAAGGGAGAGGGAAACAATCAATAACAGTACTCGTAACAGATATTCACGATGGGTGATAATGGACAGATGCTCAGACCATCCTGGAGCCATACCAAACCTGTCGCTCCCCGCCTAGCCCCCTTTTATGGTGAGCATGACGTCACATGGTATGGAATAGCCCCCTGGCCAGCTTGGCTCACCTGTCCTGGCTCCTTGTGAAAATTAACTCTGTCCTAGCCAGAACCAGGACAAGCTGGCAGAGGCAGGGATTGCTGGGACACAGGCACCATTAGACAGTGAGGCAAGGGGAAGGAAAGCAGCACAGGAGAAAGGGGCTCTTTCTCCACTTCTCTCAAGAACTCAGGCTTGCTGAGTGGTTGTATTTCTGTCCTACCCTTGCAGTAACAGGACCTCTTGGTGACCTCCTCTTTGGGGGATGGTTCCTAGTTGCACCCACTCCAGGGCTGGAGGACGTGAAGTCTGATTGCTGGCCGAGTGTCTGAAGAAGCAGCACGTGCTGTATCTGAGCAAAGCTGTGCCTGTCTTCCAGGGCTCTGGGCTGGGAGCAGCCCCAGAGGCCACGCAGGACCGACTCCATGCCATCCAGGAGAAGATGGAATCTGCCCCAGAGGTTTGCTGGCAGCAAGCAGCTGAGCCGGCGGGAGATGGAGATTGAAAATGCCCTCTTTCAGGGAACAGACCGCCACTCCTTCCTCCGAGCGCTCTACCACCAAGGTTTGTAGGTTTAAGACTGTTCCTCCCTTTGCTCCAGCATGGAGAGCCAGGGTGTGTGGGAGTCCAACACATTTCTGTCTGGCGTTCTGTCCCTGAAGACATGGTTCTGTTCTGGCACTGTGTGGGAGGAGATACTTTCCTCTCTTACATGAGCAGATAGAGAGTGGGCACTCTGAAGGATTTAATATAGAGACTTGTGAAGTCCATCTCTGTTCGGAGAGCATGGATCTCATTGACGTGCTGCATGTACTGCAGAGCCCAGCGCGGTATGTGGGAGAGCAGCTGGGGTTACGCTTTAGTAGAGCCCAGAGGTCCCCACCAAGCTGCACCAAGTAACACAAGGTGCCTGTGTGGGGCTGGAGATGTCCCTTCTCTGATTTAACTGAGTCTAACAAGGGTGAGAGGGAAAGGCACAGAGCAGGAAAGAGTAGGAGGGACTTGTTAAAGGCCCCTCCCAGTAGCCAAAGTGGAAAATGGAGCCCAGTTGCTGATTCCTAGTACTGTCCCCATGGATGACAGCACTTGCAGTGTTGTCCCCAAGCCTGTGGCTTAATGCGACTTTTCTGGATGGAGAGTCAAGTGTTGTCCAGAGATGGCAAAAACTGCTCCAGTCTGCTTTAGCTAGAGAACATGCGGGTATGAAGCTCCAGCCCAGACAGATTTTTGTATGTGACGTGGTTTAGGCCCAGCCAGCAGCTGAGCAGCCCGTGCCGCTCACTCGCTCACCCCTCCCCTGGCAGGATGCGGAGAAGAACGGAAAAACAACAGCAAAGCCTCGAGGGTTGGGATAAGGGCAGTTTACTGGGACAGCAAGGGAGAGGGAAAACAATCAACAACAGTACTGATAACAGATATTCACAATGGGTGATAACAGAGAACAATTTACCGATCCAAGACTGGTCCCGGAACCACAGCCACAGCCGAAATCGCGCCGCCCCCTCCCCCTTTTATGGTGAGCATGACGTCACATGGTATGGAATAGCCCCCGGCCAGCTTGGCTCACCTGTCCTGGCTCCTTGTGAAATTAACTCTATCCTTGCCAGAACCAGGACAGTATGTAAGATAGTATTAAATAGAAGATGAGGAGGAACTTCTAAACTCCAACTCCTAACTCCTAAAACACCACTTTGATCAGTGTCGACACTGTTTTAAGCTATAATGTCCAGCTGACCCATTGTCCTCTGGCCTCTGCTCCCTCCTTTGGTGTCAGTGTTGTAGCATTTAGCAAAACCAAGAGGCACCAAAGTTGAAGCTTGTAGGCTGGGAGATGCCCCTCTCACTTCTGTCCTCATTTCCATTGAATACAGTAAAGGAGATACCATTGGGTAGGCAATACCATGGACCTTCTTTAAACTCAGGAGCTTAAGCTGGAAGCAAAAAGTTTATATTCCATGTAGTGGTGTAGAAAGGCAGTGTGGCACGTTCTGGTCATGCATGCAGGAGAAGAAAGGTGTGTTGAAGGAGTCGCTAGAATGTGCTGAAATGTGGCTGCAGATAAGCTAGTGAGGATAGCTCTGGAAGAAATGAGCTCTGTACAAAGCACTGGTGGAGCTGCTGCTCTCTGCAGGTTCATCCTGAGCTGGGACACCAGCACTTGCTGGCTGCTGGGGCTACTCTTCTTGTTTTAAATAACCTGCAGGGCCTGGTTGGCAGCTGCATGGAGAGTGGGTCAGAACAGAGTTTCTCCTGTCCGTGTTTCTTCGTGCAGTCTGTGCGTTTTCCAGGTTATTGGTGGTAGTCATATTACCATGTTTCTCCATTGTGGATTAGATGACACTCAAAAGAGGGTAACAGATGAAAAGGACCCCATGGTTCATCTGGAGGGTGTTTACCAAGAGCTACTGAGCAAGAAGTGGCCTGAAGAAGTCCAGCCTACCAAGAGTCACCCATGCTTGTGCCCTTCCCTGGCCCTGCAGGGACCTAAGGCTGAGGAGTCATCGCTTGTGGACCGGGAAGAGCAGGCAGAACAGGCAAGAAGTCCCAGCCTTCCTGCAAGAAGTCCTCACCAGTCCCCTCCAAGGCTTGTGATTATCAAAGAGCCTGTAGAGTTTGTCCCGGAAGAGGAGATCTGCAAGAACCGTCTCTCAGAGGAAGAACTTCAGAATATACCTAGGTTCTCATCCTACCATCCTGGGGAGCCCAACAAGGTATGTTGAGATGAACCAGGATTTAATCATCTTCCTCACTAGCATGCTCTGAAGCTGCTTCAGCAGGCAAAGGCTCCTCTTTTCTGTTGACTGGCTGTTGCCTGGAGGGTGCTTGGTTGATCCTCCTGGCCAAGGGAGAGCAGCCTCCACTCTGGGAGGGAAGGGGACCTTTAGATCTATTTGGAAGTTGCTTGGCCTGGCAAAGAGCTGTACTTCAGACCCCAGCCCTTCCTGGCTTTAGCAGGTCAGTAGTCAAGATGCCCTCTCCCTGTTTGGGCCTGACAGACCAGCTGTGGCTTTACTTAAACTGTGCTTAACTGATAGCTGGGGCTTGTTGCGTTTCATAAATAACTGGAGCTATCGGCATTTGTGTCGTGGTTTAACCCAGCTAGTTGCTACTAAGCACCAGGTGGCCGCTTACTCCTCTTCCCCAGTGAGATCAGGAGGAGAATCAGAAGAAAAAGGTAAAACTCCTGAGTTGGGATAAGGACAGTTTAATAGGACAGCAAAGGAAGAGGAAAAGAACAACAGTGCTAATAAAAGAATATACAAAGTAGGTGATACACAGTGCAATTTGCTCACCACCCAGAACCCAATGAGCAGCGATCCCCTCTCCCTGGCCAGCTTACCCCTTATATGCTGAGCGTGATGTCATATGGTATGGAATGCCTCTTTGGCTAGTTTGGGTCACCTGTCCTGGCTGTGTCCCATCCCAGCTTCTTGTGAAAATTAACTCTATCCTAGCCAAAAACCAGGCTTTCCCAGCTGAAAAACATGACAACTTGGAGCAGGCAAGCATGATGATGCCTTGAGTCCAGAGCTGCCTCTCTCTGTACAACCACCTGTCTTCCAAACTCCATTGTTAGCGTGCAGGTGGAGGAAGGACTGGGATGGCAGAGGGGCTGAACTAATTCATACCTTTGAGGTGTATGGACTTGGGATCAGGTTGAAAGGTGTCTGTCTGCATGGCACAGGCTGGTGGCTAACTCTCTGTCTCTGGAACAGGTGCTGTATTTGAAGAACCTGGGCCCTCGAGTGACAATGAAGGACCTAGTGTCCTTGTTTGCTCGGTTCCAGAAAGAGGACAGCCCCTCAATCCAGTTCCGCCTCCTGAGCGGCCGGATGAGGGGTCAGGCTTTCATCACCTTCCCTGGTGAGTTGCTGCCTTGTGTCTCTCAGTTCTTCCCTGACCTGTGAGGGTGCTGTATCTTCCTACAGGGCACTGGGCTGGCGCCAATCCTGCTCTCCAAGGAGGAGGAAGGGAGTTCACACCCTCCTCTTCCTATCATGCCATAGTCTTTTCCCTGGACTGGAAGAGGATTCATCAAAACAGAAGGCATGCAGTGGTGTTACGTACCATATTTATATTCAGCACGTCGTTCTGGCTGGAGAATCCCAGTGCCACACTGGATTGCGGTGCAGGCTGAGGGTCCATGAGCCAGGAGTATCTGCGTGAACACCATGTGTGTCTGTTCTAGAACTTGCCATGTAACCTGCACCCATTTTGCTCTCTTGTTGCAGATATTCAGTCAGCCCAGGACGCCATGCTATTGGTGAATGGGTACAATCTGCAGGGGAAGCCGCTGGTGATTGAATTTGGGAAAAGCAAGGGTCATTTGCCAGAGGCTAACTTTGCCACCCCCTGCTACTTTGCTGGAGAGAACCCCTCTGCCAAGTAAGGGATGGATAACCAGGAACCTCATAGATTTGCATGGGCCATGGGAGCTCCTTGGTCATAACTGGGACAGTGAAGGACTGTTGGGAGTTAACGTGCAGGTCCATAAATCTCACAGTGGGGAAGGGAGAGAGCTGGGGACTGAGTTCTTCCTTGAGAGAGATGGGCACTGTCTTTACACTGTTGGGGCATACTGGCTTTTTCCTCCTGTTCTACATGTGTGTCTGCCTTCTCAGCCCTTTGTGGCAAGGAGGGAAGAAGCTGTGTAAATAAATGTATTTATTATGGTATTCCTTATTGTGTGTTTACTCACCTTTGTCCTGTGCAAGTCTTCTAGAGCCGAGTGTGCTGCACTCTGCTGACGCAGTCCTGCATCAGCAGAGTTCAGTCCTGGCCACTGGAGTACCTGACCGATGTGGGGAGTGATGGGGCTGCTGCCCCATCTCTGGTGGCAGCAGACACGTTGTTTTAGGACAAGAAAAAAGGCTGCTCCTTTTTTTCCAGACACTTTGGCTGCACAGGTATCTAATTACACAGGTGCTTTGTGATTGCAGATATGTCTTGGCTCCTCACTGTTGATCCCCATAAAACCCCGTGGCATGGAGGATGGTTGCTCTGATGGGGTACCATTGTGGCAGACGCCATGGTTTATCTGCTGACCTGTTCTGGTGCTTTTTGTGAACAAGGCAAGCTAATGTCATATGCTTCCCAAAGTGTCCCAGCACTCCTGGGGAGCAACATCTCAGTTCTTGGTGATGGTGGCTGAGGGAACCCAGGCTTTCCCAGCAGAGCTGAGTTGCAGGCTTCCTTTGCGTACCTAAATACAGACGTGTGAAGAGGAATGTTCCCAAGAGCCATGGTTTTACTCCCTGCTGCCATCTCCTCCTCTAGGCTGTGTGACTCCCCTCACAACTGTCCTGGTAAATGCACTTGCAACAGCACACAGATACACTAATCTGGCCAAGGCTGCACCGGACCTACGAGGACGTGATTCCAGTTCGGAGAAAACCAAAAATTAAAAAAGGGCTGTGGTGTTGCTGAGCTCCAGTTTTGCCCTGTCCTGAGGAGCTGACGTGGCTACAGGGTGGTTGTGGCCCCCAGCACCACAGAGCTGTGAACAGACCATGCTCTGCCCGCCTTGTCCCTGTGGGAGAGTGGGACCAAGCAGAGGTAGGCCCCTGCAGCTGCTTTCAACCCCCTGCCCAGGAGAAGGTCGCCCAGGCCTGTCTGGACTCATGCACCTCTGGAGGTCTGTGGCCTGGGCTGAGGCAGCTGCTGGCCACCTGCCCAGGCTCTTTGCTGGCACAAGCCCTGCCAGCCCGGCCTGAGCACTAGGACCACCGCCGGCCTCTGCTTTCTGGCACCTTCACCCCCCCGGAGTTCCCCCAGTGCTGCCGGCTCGCTTCAGCTGGGGCTCGGGACCGCGTGCCGCCATCTTGTACGGCACTGGACGCCGCCATGTCGCCGCGCCCGGCGGGGGAGGGAGGGGC